GACAGAGCCTCTAAACTCCCATGATAAAAGCTAGGTTTTCTAATTCTATAATCTCAATTTTTACCTTTTTTTCTCTATCATACTCTCTTTGACTTACCTGCATTGACAATGCAGCATGTTAGACTAGCATCCACATAGCTACCAAATACACAGTGTGCAGTGACGTCTAATGTTCAGGGTCAGTCCTTATAACATGCAAGCAAGCCATGCTGAATTTTGAGATTAAGCTGTTAAGAAATCTCATACTTTCAAGTCAAGTCAAGTCAAGTCAGCTTTTATTGTCATTTTCTACATATGTACAAGACATACAAAGGAAATGAAATTACGTTTACTCTCTGCAATATACAAATATACAAGAAATATACAAGACTGACATTTAAAAACTGACATAAAGTGCGGGACATGACAGGCTTGTAATGTTAAATTTATATGGACTATCTGTTTTTTTATTTTATTTTACTTAAAACTTGTACATTTGAACTTCTGAGTAATAAACTGAAATTAAATTGCATCTTTGCAACAATCATACAGCTGCAAGGGATACATCTTTTCAGTGGAATCTATTAAAAGGGAAAAGGTTTCATAGGTCTAATTATAACTGAACCCTATATGCTTTTATTTTCAGATACAATGCCTTAAACATTATACAACAAGATTGGATTACAAATTCTGTTAAACTGGAAATGAAAATTACAAAATGTTCCTTTTCACAAATAAAAAAAAAAACTCTATTGGTCTAACTTTAGCTAAATTGACATTTCAAATGGTAAGTTGAGCCTTGTCTTCTTTATTTTGCATTCAGATTTGCCAGTTTCCATGAGACTGCTCAGGCAGACACAGTGCTTGGGTATCTGATTGCCTTTCTGGTTCTGCTGGCTACAGTCAAACTGTGGCACCTGCTGAGACTCAACCCCAAGCTGCACATGATCACGGCCACACTGCAGCGTGCTTGGACTGATATTTCAGGCTTCCTGGTGGTCATGACCATCATGTTCATGGCTTACTCGATTACTGTGAGGATTTTCCCACGCTTAGTGAAGTTTCTGCAGAACTCTGTTTGGTCAAAAAAGATTTAATTGAAGTTGCTGATTGAAAGACAATGCCTCTCTCAATTTCAGTCTAACGTGATGTACGGGTGGAAACTGTACTCCTACAGGACTCTGCTTGATGCTGCACAAACTATTATCAGCTTGCAGCTTGGCATCTTTAACTACGAAGAGGTTAGTACAAGGTTATTGCAACAGCCAATAATGACAGGTGATCCTTGTTAATTGTATTTCTTCCAATCTGCCAGGTTCTAAACTACAATCCAGTCCTTGGGGCTTTCCTTATTGGATCCTGCATTGTATTCATGACCTTTGTTGTGCTGAATCTCTTTATATCTGTTATTCTTGTGGCATTCAGTCAAGAACAGATCCATCACAAGGTAAATTATTTATATTCATGAAAAGTCTTTATTATTATATTCTCCTATTATATGTTCTCTCTTCATACAGCCATCAGAAGAGGAGGAGATTGTTGACCTGATGTTGATCAAGTTCTGCAACCTGTTTGGACTCAAATGTCAGAAGCAAGTGGTTACCTAGCTGGTATTATTGTGAGGATAAAGGACGCCATGTTGTCTGAAGTGTAACATCATAAAATTAAACAGATGCGATTTTTTTTAGTTACGGCTGCTGTAACCTGTCCTGCTGCCAATCGACATTTCTGTGTTTTTCACTTCTTACAAGTACATTGGCTGTGTCTTTCTCTAAGGCTACAAATATATTTGTATGTGTTATCAGATATAGGTAATGTTTTTTGCCATGAAATTCTAATAGTCTTAGAATAATCTGTTTCTTATGTCTTTTACTCAAACTGAAAGACGCTGCTTGTACATGTTAAATAATGAGCTATGGAAGCATCATCCTCTGTTTAGTCATTTGTGCTTTGAACACCAACTTAGCAATTTAAGGTGATGACAAAAACAACCATAGGTAATAGAAATGTTTTATTTATTTTTCGCATGAGCATATAAAGGTTGGAAGAAAATATCCTCCATCCCACTCCATCTTACTTTAGGTTATGCTTTTTTTTTTTACTTTTATTCAATGAAATATTTCACTCCATGTATACAGTCAAAATACAGAGTAGTATGCCATTTGATCTGGAGCCTATAAGCCATCTAAGTTGCAAGACACTAATGGACTACATACTAACATACAATAAAAGATTTGTCTTCTAGTAGTAAAATTAAATTATGTGTTATTGGCAAGTTTGATAAGAGATGCATGTTTTGAAATGTCTACCTTTTTCTTAAAGGAAAAAATACATTTTAAGGCTGCCCTGTTTAATTTAAATAGGAGGAGAAATTAATCACACTTCAATTTACAGCCCCCAATAATAAGCTTCCAGTATTGAGGAAGATGTTGGGAAGATCACCCATCTTGGATTTTCATACGGCCAAAGAAAAAGTATTTTCTTTTTGGGATTATAAAAAATTAAACTGAATTGAATTTTAATTGAATATATTATTATATTCGGAGTGCAACAAATGAGTAGTTTTAGGTCAGCAAGTCAACACAAAAAACAGACTTCATTATTTTACTCAGAACAGGTGTGTTCTAAGAATTTTACTCAGAATTAGTATTTTGCAACCAGTGTAATCAAGGCCAGTGTAATCAAGGTCATCTATTCTTATAGGAAGGAAACGTTCCTGGTGCTGCATGAAGAGAAATATATATTCCAGGACAGTTTTTTTTTTTGTGCCATTTATACATCATTATAGATTGGGGGGAAAAAAACAACCAAAAATGTATTTTTATAATTTAACCAGTGTACTGTAAAACTGGCTTTTTTTAACCTACCTAGGAAGATATCTGAGCAGTTAAGGATCTTGTTCAATCAGACAACTCTCACAAGAACCAGATATGTATTAAGTAGGTTACTGTACAAGACCAAGTTTTTTCAGCAGCTCACATAGTTATGCTGTAAGCAAAATTTAAATGCACTCAATCATGCTTCTAAATACTTTTAATCAACCTAACATAGTTCTTATTTAAATGATGACCTTTGATCAGCCCCCTTGTCAAATCAGTTTAAAGAGGACAAGTCTTTCTGGATGTACTCCAGTAATTAGCCTTACAATGAAATCAATTACAACTAGGTCAGTCAGTAGATGTGATTTACCTAAACAATCACATTCAATGGGTTTTAATTGTTTTTAAGTTCTAAGTCATTTTTTATTGAGTTTAACATGCACTTTTTAAAGCTAATCATTTTATTGTAAGTAACTTAAAATTTTAAGAATCTTTTCTGTCCATTTTTAAGCTGTATGGAAAAGATGTACGCTTACAAGTAGTGTAGGACATTGGAAGTGTGGCAAGCAATCTTACCATTTCATGACCAAAAAAGTGTGTAACACCCCTTTCCCACTGGCTGAAAAAACTGTTTAAACCCGGCAACAGTCTGCTTTTAGTGGCAGCGGGAACAGCTCACTGACGCATGACTAACCTGGTCAAACTACTCAGCAAGTGACCTGAGATTAAATTGCCTTGGCTCTTATTTACATGCTGTGGGAACACCAGAATCGTGTTTACAAGCTAAATTATGTGATACCATGAATTGCAATGTATGAACGTCAACACGCCATGCCAGTCACTTCTGATCTAACAAGCCACAACAACTCTGTTTTCATTTGATAAACATGGTACAGCACTGGTAAGAGGGATTCCAACAGATAATAGAGCTAAACATTAAGGCACACTAACTACCCCCTGTCTTCCTCACATGTTTCTCTCCATTGTTTACTTTCCTGAAATTTTCACACTGGTGACACCAACACAAATCCAGAGTGATGGTATCACCAGACATGCAGCGGTGGGGGGACAGAGGCCAGACAGTTCGCTAGCTAGGAATTAGACGCAGCTTTTTTCCAATGGGAAGGTAGCCAAATGCCTGGTCGACCTATGTTTGAAAAACATGCTTTAACCTGCTATTTTCAGAGATAAACTGCAACATTTCATTACCAATAAAAGATGAGGCTGAACATCTTATACCCAAAATAATTTCAAATTGTGGAAGTATTATATGACTGCTCCAAAAATTGTGATATTTGAAATATTAAAAAAAAAAGCAGGACATCAGTTACAGGAATTATGATCAGGAACATTTTAATTACAATCAGCTACAAAGATACTTTGGTATCTATTAAAATGATTGGGACGCTATTTTGACATGAAACATATTCAGTGAAAAATACAGCTGATATTAGTTATATTTCCATTTCTATGAGGCCTCTAGGAAGAAAATATCTTCAATCTTGATGTGGTTAAAACAATTTGTAAAAAAAATAATATATATATATATATATTTTTATATATATATATATATATATATATATATATATATATATATATATATATAGATAGAGAGAGAGAGAGAGTTTCCTTTTCTTTGCCAAATGGAATAAAATGTTATGATGTGGTCATACTGCTTGCCATAAAGACAAAAGTAACGTGTCATAAAAAGGAAATAGGTGGCACCACTGACAAAGAGGAGACAGGAACTAACAATAGCATGTCTTGTGATAAACTTTTCAAAAGACACNTGGCACCACTGACAAAGAGGAGACAGGAACTAACAATAGCATGTCTTGTGATAAACTTTTCAAAAGACACAATTTCATTAGGCAAAAATGGACTGAAACATCGGTTGTGATCCAATGCATTTCCTTCTGTGTTTATACCATCTATTAGCTCTTTTTCTTATGGATATTTAACACCCAACTGAAATGAATATTTTGTCATGTTCTAATATAAATTTAGGATTTAATGCGGATCTGTTGTGCTTTGAGATTAATAATATTGAGCAGTGTGATCAGCTTTAAAATATCCACATTTTCAAAGAGTGTAGATAATCAATAGATGATCTTCAAAAAAATATGCCTTTCAGAATGGTCCTAATCAGAGGTGTAGCCAAAAAAATGTTATAAGGGTGGCCAGGCAATAACCAATGTACACTGAGGGGTGGCCGAAAGTGCATAGGTGCCAGAGCCTCAGGGTCAAACCAAAGATAAGACTAACTATACTTTCCTACATTTATATTTTATCTCTTTTTATTCTTATTCTTTTTTTTAATCTTTATTATATTGTATAGCTGGATGTGTGTATATATTATATAAAACTGTAACTGGAGCGTGTAACAAAAGTAATTTCCTTCTGGGATTATTAAAGTATTTCTGATCCTTTGCTAACAAATACACGCATATATTTAAACATCTGTGCTTTCTAGATAAAAGTTATGGTGGATAAAATACTTTCAGGCTTGAGTTCTGGGCCAAACATCTTTTCCTTTGTCATTACTTACCTGCTTTTATCAATAATCATTCTGCATAAAATTGATATTTACAAGTACTAATATCTACATAAATCGATTATTTAATACATTTGTATTAAAATAATTATGATTTCACTGAATACTCCTAGATGATTTGCAGAGACACATGATTTTTTCTTTACCCCATATAACACAAAATCTAGTTCTGAAAAGAGCATGAATTATCATCTTTAATGCTAGTATATTGATGTGTATAATTAACCACAGTGTTTTTGTTGTCAAGAAATTATGAATACATGAAAAAATTGTAAGTAATATATGAAAAATGAAAATATTCCACTTGAGAATATTACTGCTGCCACCATCTGTATTAGAGGGGGAAAAATGGTGAGGGTGGCAAATGATTGGCTAAGGGGGGCCATGGCCACCCCTGGCCCCCCATCTAGCTCCGCCCCGGGTCCTAATCCTTTTTTTTTTTTCAGTAAAAACTTTTGCATTAAAGGAGTTCTACCTTTGCTTGAAGAAAGTTGTGAGAAAAAAAATCAGAATCAGAAAACAAAAGTAATTTATTTTACAAGTTGAATTAGTTTCTAAAGAATATCAACGTTCTAATATCACAAAAATAAATAAATAAATAAAAATGAAGAGTTGTCCGAAGATTCTATATAGTTGAAGTTCATTCCTCATTATGAATAATCCGTACGTCACTCCTACGTGTTGCGTCACATGCGTGGGCGTGGTTCCCCTCCGGTAGTCGGTTGACAACAAACATGAGTCGTGGGCGGATCGAAGGGGGACTCACAGGCCGAGGAGCAATGCAGATAGTTAGCCTACAGTAGCGACAGAAAAAAAAACTCCATCTGAAACTGTTGCTCGTTCCTAACAACTTCTGTAATTCCTGCTGGTAACACGGGGAACAGGGCTGCTGACACTGTAAGTGACCGAAAGTGAGCGGCGGTTTCCAGCCAGAGGGATTGCGATGCCCTCTGACTTTATCTCCCTCTTCAACGGGGACCTCGACCTCAATTCTCCCAGATCCCTGTACTCTAAAGGTAAACAACGTTCCTTTACTTTATTTGTTCTGGTAGAAACGTTTGACTCCTTTTTGTTTCACTTATTTGTTTTTTTAAATATATATAGCACATTTACCTGTGTTCGGTCTCAAAACGTGTCTAAGTGCGGCGTTACTTCAGTGCCATTCATCTATAAACCACCTCCTGTCACATGCCTGCGCATGAGCTGAGGTAAAGTTTTAACTCTCCTAAACAACCTTCACTGATACTCGTTTGGTTCCTTGGGTCCCATGGTCATATTTTCGGCGGGCTGAAGCCCTCAGCTGCTGGGAGTACACCGGTCAGACCAGTTTATTATCTCCCTTCCAGCCTAAAAACACCGCTATCTGTTTTCTCTGGGCTGTTTGAATAGTCCGTCCATGTCCTCCGCCCCCGTCAGGCTCTGAACGCATGCACACATATGAATGCACTGCAGCGGCGCTAGTGGGACCATTAACATAAACTGTGTAATCATCAGCAAGGGAGCCTCGGGCAACCTGCAGATAGAAAAACTGAACTCTGTTGAACTTCTAACACCAGGTGCAATGCTGCAAAAACTGCATTTCTTCTACTTTGCCCCTTCCCGTAGGAACTAATGGCACAAGTGCAGTAAAAACATTTATTTAACACTGAAATAAGACTTTTCCAGCTGCTTTAAAATAAAAAATACAAATCTGAAAACCTTGAGAATAAACATAAACCTCTAAGGTTTTTATTAAGTTTATTATACATTAAGAATGGAGTTGATAAGCATACTTTGTACTGAAAAAAGCAAAAAAAGAAGAAAACAAAAACAGCAGTTTCTGTTGCTTTTGTCACCAGCTGGGCGTGGTGGCAGGGGATACCTTGGAGGCTGCAAAAACTACCAAAAGCATTGTTTCTCTTTTATACCTTAACAATGAACATTTAGGACTCATTGTTGAAAAGTCTTTTATTTTTCTCACCATTCTCACCCTTGGTATCTTGTTTATGTTATTTAATAATTTTTTTTTTTTGTATAATCTAACTCATTAGTAAAGAAAGAAACATAAAGGCTATTTGAGAAGTGCAACACTTTGTGCAATTGCTTTGCAAAATAAAATAAAAAAGAATGAGGACAACACTTTTCATTTGCAAAAACACATGGAGTGGGAAAAAAAAGTTTGTTTTTTTTGGTTCATAGGTGAGGAAAGACAAAGTTACCTCATCGCAGCTTAGCTTTACATAATAGTTAGGTCATAGGTTTGAATAATTTTTTTTTTTTGTAACCACTACTGCAAGTTGTTTCACAGGGATAACACTATAGGAAGGTGTGCAGACCACCAATGCACATCAGAATCAATTTTATATATAATATATGTGTGTTTGTTTGCAAATTTGTGCAAAAACCTATAAAAGGCTTGAATTTTTCAGCTAATGAGGTAGCACAAAAACAAAAAAACATAGGTTGGCCATTTTTACTTTGAGAACTCTAGCTGCTTGAGGGAATCTGCAATACTGTCTCCAAGGTTCAGTTGCATGATGTTTATGCTAATCCATTCCTTCATCAGCTGCATGATCATTGCAGCGTTGCTGCAATGTAAGGAGATGTATACACTAGTTAGTGGGTGCCTGAAGCAGTGTGAAGCATTGGCAGGTGCTACAGAGAGATAGAAAAACCATGCAAACACACTCCCAAGGACAGTAAGAATAAACATCCATGTTTTAGGAAGGTGGGAGGAAATCTGACTGGCTAGAAAGAAGCTTTCAGTATTTGGGTTTCATTTCTTCTTTGTACTCGACAAGCCTCCTTACAGCCACTCTGCATATCTACTTCTTAGTGCAAATTTCTTTAAATTCTGATAATCGTCCTAAAGGAAATGTTTTGTGTGCAATAACTTGCACATAAAGTCTGTCCAGTATGTGAAAATGATCACAAGTGTAATGCTGATAAAGAACGGAGGTTGCTATTCAAATCAGCCTTTGATTAAGTTATCTCAATGACACATTTCTAAATGGTATCAGGACTATTTAGAAGATGTAGATATATTAGTGGAGAGTTGATATAGAAAGAGATGGATAGGTTTAACTAAAGGTGGGCACACACTGTATGATTTTACCCTTTATGGGCCAGTTTTGGTCATCTGAAAAAAATTTTTGGATCAAGTTTTAGCCTCATCATGTGTCCTGCGTCGTGTAGTATACAGGGGGTAACGAGGGGTGGTCACCCTCTCCCAAGCACCTCCTGATCAGGAATCCTAAGGACCGGGAGAAAATCAGAAATTCAGTCAGCCCTCTGTGTTTGTAGGTAAATCCTGCTGTTGAAGCAGAGCTACCAGCCGATTTACCAGAACCTTAACGATGCATGTGCAAACAACAGTGTTGTTGTTCTTCTTCTTCTGGATTGACAACCCCGACCAGGGCCATGCTTAGTCCAATGTGTGGTTTTTGGACGTACAGTGTGAGCAGTTGGATCGCATCAGACCGTCTGGCTGTACAGTGTGAGAATCTGCATCGTGAGCAGTAAACTTTTAAACCCTGTGGTTTCGTAGTACAATTTGAGCTGTAGCTAAGTACAATGATTGGAAATATCGTACAGTGTATGCCCGGCTTAAATGTGCAAAAATTACCTACCTGTGTTTTCGTTTACTACCTTCTAAGGTCTTTTGAACAAATTGATTGATGATATTTATAGCTTTGGCTTAGTATTAAAACCGCAGTACATCCAATGACTCAGAAATAGTGCAATATTACACTATTGTAAAGATTTCAATGTGCAAAACTGATCGCTCTTACCAGAGAGAGCTAAATATTCTAACTGAACTTGACATAATTGCAAGTAATTTAAAATAGAGGCCATATTTTTTTTTTGCAATTTCAACAATGTCCAACTCTTAATATTAATATTTAAGGAGTTCTAATTACTTATCTCTTCTCTTCTTTCTATCTTATCTCTTCTTTTGTAAAAAGAATTTCTTGTGATCTTTTTGCTCAACACTTTTACTGTCAATATTAATGAGTTGTGCCCAAACATAAACTATAAATGCCCAGAAATTCAAGTAGGTTTGTTCAAATGTCTTCCTTATGAATATGATTTTTAGAATCTAGCTTTTTTTATTTCATTTTTTTTTTTTCTTTTAGGAAAGTAACATCTTTACAGGGAGCTGCTTTTTCACCCAAGTGCAGTCCAGGGAATTGTAGGGAAAAGCAGAAGGCTTTAACAATAGCTCTCTGGACAGGAAGGCATTTTGTGCTACTTTTGTAGTCCGTGAGGGACTGCTGGTTAATAATTGGAATAAAATGCCTTCCCAGCAGTTTCACAGTAAACATGAAAAATGTTAGAACTTCAGTAAATATTCTGGTAAGCCTGTTTAACTATTGTAAGCTCTCAGATCTTGCCATGGTATTTTTTTTTTTTTTATTGACACCAACCTTAACTTGGTTAATAATTAACTCTTGAGCTCCTCTGTGTATAAACCGAGGTTTAAATAGCACTCTATTAATATTGACTCTCCTTTGTCAAGTAAACCTGGCGGCATGCGCTTAAAAATACTTGGCTGCTTTGAAAGCTGGTGGCTATCTAGCCAAAAGGGCCACAATGAGAGAGAAAGGATGGAAAATGTGAATCTTTATCTGCATTGGATTGATTTGTGTCCCATCATAAACTATCCTGTTATTGTTGTTAAGTTTGTCTCATCAGTACGCTGTGAAATTGGAACATCACGTCACAATAATCTTGAGAACTTGTAGTGCCTGTTGATGTTATTATCATTGGGGAGATGCAATGTTTCGTTGTTATTCAGAACATAGTTTCCTGTGATGTTTTCTTCACCTGTTAAAACATCAATCCAAACTGGTTCTACATATTTCTGACTGGGACTTTTGCAGATTGTTATATTGATTTGTTAGATGGTCCATCTTGTTTTGAAGACTAAATTAATGTTTGGATTTTTTTTTTTTTATGCAAATCCCTTTATTGTCCCACAATGGGGAATTTCACTGTCTGCATTTTGACCCACCCCCTTGGGGAGCAGTGGGCTTCCATTGTGCGGTGCCAGGGGAGCAGTTAAGGTTTTTGCTCAGAACCCATAGTGCAGGCTGTGAGGATCGAACCGGACACTTGCAACGTTCTCAGAGCAAAAGCGCACTGTTCTAACCACTATAGGCAAACACACCCCTATGTGAATTAATCACCATAAAATGAGGAGTGGAATTTCAGAAGCTGGTAAGTCATTCAGAATTTCATCCATAACCAACAGGCAGTGGTTTTTAGAGGAGAAAATGTCTGCTGAAGGATGTCGGAGCAGAATTAGACTGATTCAAGATTGTGGAAAGCTAACAGCAGCTCAAATGACAAATCAGCATACCATCCTTTAATGCATGACACACCCAACCTTTAGCTTTGGCTTTTCAACTCTCATACTCCAATCGGTTTCCAATCAGTATTGTTTACAAGGATCTGTTCTGGTCCGAATGTCTTGTTTGCTTGGCTGCCAAAAACTGTCTTAACTTTAGTCTGTATTGTTTCCCCAGCCTTAATGGTCAATACTTGTACAGTTATCATGGCAGTCATTTCTTACTAATGCAGTTTTATCTTGACTTGCAAAAGACATCCATGAACAGGGTAGAATCAACCTAAATTCCACTGATAGCAGGTG